AAGTAAAAAAATGAGGTGAGGATGGAAGGTCTTGCGAAAAGGGGGGATTTTAAAGAAAAACTAGTGTCACGAACCGTCTCACAATGGATCTGACACACATTGACGATGTTGTCTAAGGTCTGTCAAATGCTAGAGAAAATCCCAAACACACATGTGTTGAAATATATGCTCGAACGGTGACGCTGTCAAGCCGACACATACACCTCCAAGCCTAAGAGACTTGTTAACGTATCCCTCAGGGAGAACGTCAAAAAAGGAGAAGTCAAACTAATGTCGGGCTTGGTCTGGTCAGAACCAGTCGGACCTAGTCCAAAGCCAAGGTTGGGCCTTCGCCAACGCGAAGATCACTAGTGTGGCGGTTAAGGTGCAGAACCGCGCGTTAGCCTCTTCTGCAATGAATTACACCTCGGCAAACGTGGGACCAATCAGAGAGTTCCACTTGCCCATCAAACGATAGCCACGACCTTCATAATAATTAAAAGATTTCCCTCTAGCTAATAAGGGAATGAGGCAAAAAGATGTGATGGAGGATCCTCCAATATGGGTCCGCCACGTCGCATCCCACGAGGGAATGCTCAACAGAATCATTTGAGGGGCACACACCTCTCAAAAATATATAAAAGGATCCTTCTTCCTCATGAAGAAGGGGACGAAACACTTTTTCCTGTGATTTATTCTTATCTCTCTCAAACCTCATACTAACTTGATCGTCGGAGCTTCGTCCCGGGAATTCCTCCCGGAGGTTGACTAACTTCTTTCTCTTTTGCACTGTGATATCCGGAGAAGATACCTACACGGATCTCATCTACAATCCCAACTCAACCCTCCCCAATATATCACAACAGTTGGCCACCCTAGATGGAAATATCTTGCCAAGATCCTGGAATGCCATACATCTCAAAGATTATTTTATGTAAGAATTAGTCATTTTCCAACACACTCACGGTACACATGCTATTTTCTTTTTACCCTTTATTTTTATTACTATTTACTTTCTTTGAATACCGTTACTGACTTAAGCATGGGAGGGGCTTTAGCTAGACTAACGCCCACCCATAGCTAATGTTTGCTGTGCGCATGGACTCAAGGATCCTAACACTCAAAGATCATGACAGTTAAGGATCTTGACGTACAAGGATCTTGACAAATGAAAATTCAAGGATCCTGAAAAACAAGGATCATGTCGTTTAAAGACCCTGGCACCAAAGAGTTCCATAACTGCAAACGTCCTATGATTCACAACATGAATGTCCTAAGAATAGATACTGATTATCTCTCCTACGAATAAGGGTACTTAATCCCCTCTAAGGTTTAAAGAGTTAATTACCACTTTCACACGAGTTAAGGTTTATACACTTCGCTTGGACGCATGTTATCTAACTATGGGATGTGAATAAGGGGATCATTTCACGCTGCAGTGAATTGACAACCCTCTTATTTCTGAACATAAGTTAAGATCCTAAACTTGAAATCTAAGGTTTTTTACATTGACATGCTATCTTAAGTTAGGATCCTCCCTAGATCATACAAGGTTTATAACATTTTTATGTTATCTCAAGCTGGGATCCTTCCCAGATAATACACAAGGTTTATAACATTTTCCTGTTATCTCAAGCTGGGATATCCCCAGATAATACACAAGGTTTATAACATTTTCATGTTATCTCAAGTTGGGATTTCCCCCCAGAAAACACACGAGGTTCATAACATTTTCATGTTGGGATTTTCCCGTAAAAATAAATAAATTTATAACATTTTTATGTTATCATATGATTTTGGATCCTCCCCATAATTTTACAAAGTTTGGAATTTTCCCAAGGTTTTTTGAGAGTTACGATAACAATGTATTGCTTGAAGATGGGATACTCCCCAAAAAATATGTAAAATTTGTAGCATTGTAATGTTGCAAAAGTTGTTTCAGTCATTTTCCAAGTTAGAGTCATTTCCAGTTGACTCCTTGAAGTTCACTAAATTAAAGACAATCAAGGATCCTCCTTGACGACCAAGGATCCTTCCATTAATGAACCCTAGGATCCTATAGAGCGAAAAGAATTGTAACTTTACACTTCGTCTGAAAGTGGGTCCCAAAGGTCACAAAGCCCAAAGATAATCTGGTTCTATCTATCTTTATTCTTATTTATATTTCTTATCGAAGATTTATCCTAAATGGATCCCAACTATTTTGGGTTCCTAAATGGATTACTAGCAGTTTTCAGGTTATTAGGATCCTGAGAGTTCTTGTAAACCCTGAACTACTTGGGATGTTGATTATAAAGATCCTCGAAAATCCTTCTACTACAACCACAATCAAACATGCAAAGAAATGTTAAAACAACCATAGCATTAAGGGGTTACCCACCAACCCCACAAAAAAAGAAAATAGTAATATTGTCTTACATCACCTAGAAAATAATAAACTACTTAAAACCAAATTTTTGCAGGCCTAAATTGTTAATTGTTTATCATCGCCTGTGACCTTCTCCACCTCGTCCACCTTTGACGGTTGCCCTTCGGGATTCTGATTGGTATTCACAAGCTTACCAGTCAACTTGGCCAAAGCTTCACACCACCCCTTCAGATCCCAGGATCCTGCATTGGCGACATCCCCAGCTAACCAAATCTTGGTTTCCCACACAACTATGTCAACACTGGACTTCGCCTCCGCAATCACATCCTCCATCTCAGCAGCATGCTCTTCCTCTTTCTCACCTTTTTCCTTGCTCAACAGATCGACCTTTCTTGAGGAGATCTTTATTGATCACTTTCCACTCTTTCTCCCACTCCTTCAGGACTCGCTCAGCCTCCTCAGCCCGGATCCTTAGATCAACTACAGACTGGGAAATGTGAGAAGAAACCTGAAACATGTATGGCGTCAGTAAAAATAAGTAGGAATCGGAAACTAAAGTCACACAGTCACATACGGCTTGGGAAAAGGAAAGCAACTTTTGAAGCGCCTCCTCGGCTCCGAGATTTTCCAGGTTCAGATCTGTGGCTTCTGAGGTCTTCTTCTTTCGAGAGCCCAGTGTCTTCACAGTGAGGTCAATGTGAGATCTCATAAAAGGAAGAGGAAAGGCAGTTTTTTCCTTCTTGACTACAATCAGGCCGCTGGACATATCGTCCTCGAGATCAGACAAACCGAATTGGGCGTTGGAGTGAGTGACCTTGGATCCTACACATCGCACAAGATCCTAATTAGTTCAGGATCCTCAATAGCCTTGGATCCTTGCTAATTCTAAACTATTATAAGAAAAATAATAACTCTTACTAGTAGCCATGGGCACAGTAGCGGAGGAACCTTCTTGGAGACTAGAACAATCAAATTTGAAAGACCTATCAGCTGCGTAAACATCAAGGAACTTCTCTATCTTCTCCTCGGTATCCTCAACAATGGGAATGAGCTCTTCAAACCTGAAAGCTGCAAAACAAAAAACAAAATGTTAGGAATATAATATTGTTAGGAATATAATCCTTTAAGATCGTTTAGATTCAAACAGGTAAAGCAATAACACGATATGAAAACAAGAACACAAGATGTATCAACTGGTGTTGAATGATTAAAAGACACAACCTTAGAAGAACTCTATAAAGAATTGCTGTTGTAGAGGCGTTCTAGGGTTACAGAGAAAAGATCAATTCAACAACTAGCAAATACGGTGCATGCATGCACTGTATATATACTATAACCCTAATAATTAATACGGTTGGACAGGCCCAAACCATGTACACAATAGACTAAGTAAAATGGCCCAATGAAACAATCTTTTATACTCAACAATCTCCCCCTTTGCGTCAATTGAGGCCCAAACCCTTCAGCCTAGGATTCGCTTCTGTACTTCATACACCTTTGGAATCATCGCATAAATTGCTTGGCGAACTTCAATGTACCAAAGAATCATATCTGAGAAGCACTTGATATCTTCTTTCTTGTTACCTCTGAACTTGCTCACTTGTTCCAAAATAAACTAAAGGAAGGTTGTGGTATAGAGATGCTTATCAGAGAGATAGAAACATCCTTTTCGAAAATCTACTCCAGTACGCTCCCTAGAAGAATAAACCACGAACCAATCTCCATTGTAAATTTTCCCTGGTTTCAATTTTTCAAAATCCTCAGGAGTTTCCTTAAGAACAGCCGAAGGCTTCTTTCGCAGGATGACCCCAACTTCAACATCCATCTCCCCAACCTCCTGAATGTAGGATTGTATCATGAGCGTGAGATGAGACATGATAGGTTCATACTTTTCTTTTTCCTTCAGCAATATGTTGTAAAGGACGAACCAGTCGTTTGGGTTAAGGCATGGAAGATCTGCTAGAGTAAACTCATAACATTGACTGTCTGAACCACTAGCCACTTTAAACTTGGCGTTTGGAAAGCTATCAGTCTCAATCGGCCCTGTAACTTTCACACCAGTGATTTTGCTTAATGACCATGTCTCGTATTGTGGCTTCATATGCTTTAGATAGAACGAGAAAAGCATATGATCCGCCCCGCTGTCTGTAATAGGAACATTTGTCACTTTAACAAAAGAACAAAATCTGAAGGCTTTTGGAGTAATTAGCAGATCCAGTTGGGAGTCTCGTGTGTTCTGAAGTTCAAACGAAACTACTGGTTCTAACCAATACTGGCTTGGAAGATCAATATCATCACGCTGGATTTGCTTCAGAGTCTATTTGGGGAACAGGAGCTTTTTACTCTGAAGAGTAGTCTGTGCTTCTTTCTCAGCCCTTTCCTTTTCTTCAGCTTCACGGATGATTCGCTGATGTTCATCCATTTAAGCTTCACAGACTTTTCTCCTTTTCAATTCTTCTTCAGTAACCTCTTCTTCTTCTTCATTGTCAATAATCATTTCATCACAGAACAACTTTTCTTTTTCCTTCGGTTCCTTCTTGACAATAGGCTTGACAGGAGCTTTGGGTGGCTTGACAGAAGTTTTAGGACCTTCTGTTCATGATCCCCCAGCCACATTTTCTTTTCTAGATCCACCAATCACACTTTCTCCCCCTTATTTCCGATTCAAGGATTGATCAGAAACACCTTCAAGACGGTGAAGCATGGCAAAAACTGGCTTTAAGTTTTCTTGCAGATGCTTACGCATAGTAATGGTGATCATAGAGTCCCTAGTCTCAATGATATTCGAGAGCAAGCCAGTAACATCAGTTATACAGCTTCGCATGACCGCCCTCTCAGATAACAAATCTTTGACCTGTTTCTCCAAAGCTTCAAGTTTGGTGCTTAACAGCTTGGCTTCTTCAGTCTTGAGAGCGAGAGAATCTTTGAGAGTACTTTCTTTTACAAGTTCGTCTTTAAGTTGAGAAAGCTGAGACGAAATAGTGACTTGAAAGGATTCATGGTCAGATTTCAGACCGGTTTGAATATCTTGGAGTTTTGTCCTTTCAGTCGTGAATAGAGATCCCAGACTCTTCAATGCTTCATTTGCTGATGTGGTGTTGGAATTATAAGTGGTTTGGAAGTTCTCCATGAAAGCAGTTGTCTTCTCAATTAGTTTATCGACTCTTTCGGTCGTGGACTTGCAAACCTCAGCAGAATCAATGACAGCTTTATTCGATGTCTCCACAGAAGCTGAATGTTGTTTCATGATTCGCTTAAAGAGGGTCTCAACAGTTGCTTTAGCATAAGTGTCAGTAGAAGAGGCTTTTGTAGATTGAAGCAGCTGGACAATCTTTTCATGTAGGGACTGCAGTTGCCCTTTCGTCACTTGCCCCTCATCTGTATTCTCAATTCTGATTTGGAAGGGACTGTAAGTAAAACCCCCAAGATCCTTGTCGTCATCATCACAAAAGAGCATATCTGGATCATCACGGTTAAGAGGGGAAATAGGTGGTGAAACATGAGTGGAGAAACCTGAAGTTAGAGCCCCAGTATCAGATACGTTAACTGAAAAAAAAGGTGGGATGGAGACAGTAGGATCTACTGTTGAATCAGTAAAGAGAGGGATAGAAATAGGAATGTTTGTTTGTGGTTGAGAAGAAACTGGTGGTTGAGATGAAGCTGGTGGTTGAGACGAGACAGGGGTTGATTCTGTAGAAACAGGAGGTGGACAAGGTGCGATAGTAATCGGAATGGAAGTCTGAGTAGGAGAAGGAGGTGGAGTTGGAAGTTTATCATTAAGATTTACCTCGTGTTGTGAAGAAGGTGGAGGCGAATCACCGCGAATTGAACCCTCAGACTGTGAATGTTCGCTTTCCGAACTTCATGAAGATGAGCTAGGAACCAGAGTCATCTTGTGTAGCTTTCGCTTCTTAGGAGTTGAAGGAGCTGCTCCTTGAGTCTTTCGCTTCTTAGGGGTTGGAGCTATGGATGATTGACCTTCTTGAACCCCTTTCTTCTTTTCCCCCCTTCTTACCTCCCTTTTTGGGTTAATCAGCCTCGTCTAATGATTTTTGCATTTCAGGAGTTAACTCTCTTGGACTTAAACCTGGTTTCGTCTTATAGGTTTTCAAAATATTACTTGCCCCAGAGACACTTCGATACATAGACTCATGAATTGATCCTATGAAGGAAAATTTGGAGTTGTCTGAGATGATGATCTTCGTTGTGTGGAATGTGGCGATAGAAGCCATCAACGAATCCTCCATGACTGGAACATTAAACTTTTCAATTTCTCTATGCACCACTATGGTCCAAAAACGACCACAAGAAATCTCGCTGTGCCGAGACGATGATTCATACTCTGCACTAACTGAGCCCACAACACTGAGCCGTAGTCAACGTGAATCCCATGGTAGAGACCATAAAGGATTGTCATAAATAGTTTACTGGCACAGTCCGACCCAACAACTCTCTCAGAAAAAGATTTGAAGAGTAGAGTAAACAAACCATTCCATTGTGGTGAGAGAGAAGATTTCTTGAACTTGGTGATTGTGGTGAGAATGTCAGTATACCCCATTTTGTAAAACATCTCAAAGATTTGGGCAGTAGAGATTGACTCTGGGTTTACCATGGATTCATCGTAGGCTAGCCCTAGAAGTGAGCAAAATCGAGCCTTTGTGATCGAAGCTTTCTTTTCAAAGATCTCAAAGATGATCTTCTTTGTTTCCTTCTGATACGTGGCAGTGGAATAAGCCTTAGTCAGCAGTGAAATTGGAACTAACTCAACTTTGGTTAGGGCAGTGACCAGTGGTGAGTACTTGAGACATTCCATGATAGGCAGTAGGAAGGAATCATATTTGAACGGTGCAAGATCCAAGATCAGATTTTGATTTGGCTTGATAGTGAGAAAAGAAGACTGAGCAGTGTGTTCTTGAACGGGGGAAGAATCGGCCATTGTTGCAGGTGCTTGGAGAAGATGAACAGTGAGAGAGTAATCTCCTTTTAGGGTTCTTGGTAATTTTGGAAGTGGTAAAGATTAACGTAATGAACGATAACCCCTTTTATACAATTGCCCAAGAGAGAGAAATGAATCGTCAATCGCATAAAAATCTCGTAAACAACTCCTAAAAAGACGTGATTTGACAATTGTTCCTCCTAAAAGAATGGCAGGCGGCGTGACGATTATTGACGTTTCAAATTCACGTGCCTTTTGTTTGAAATCCTATCCTCTTTGTCGCGTCAGCAATAACTTTGTTCTCAACGCTTCAGATCTCAATTAAATGTAGAAGTGAAACATCATTAGTTCTGTAACACAAAAGAACTATAATCACCACGAACAAGACTTTTGGAAAATCAATACATTTTTGTGCAAGAGTGTGCCAAAGAAAAAGAAATAAAACAAATTATATCTGTGGGATTTAAGTGATGTCAATAGAGACACGAAGCTATGGATCCCGGGCACGAATCTCTTCCTTCAAAGTCAAGAGAGACTTAGAAGTGTCTGTGTGGTTTCCCGTTCAAGTACGATCAATTGTTTGTTAAGAAACATTGAAAGGCATCTTTTAATTTCGGCTTTATAGGTGGTTTTCGCTTCAATCAAACTACGAAACTTAACATAAGTTCGAAAGTTGGTTGAAGTACTTATGTGGCCAGTGTAGCCATGAACATCAAGTAGGTTGGAAATTTTTTCAGTCGCGTGGGAAAATTTTAGAAATCTCAAAACAAAAACGAAACTGGATCTTTTGGGAAGAAATGTCTTAGTTTCAGAACATTCCATAAAGATCTCGCAAAAATAAAAGAGATTTCATGGTACAAACCATGATAATGGCTTTCGTTAATTCATGGGTGAATAGCTAGAACTTTCATTGGTTCACCGTCAATTCATTTTGGTGTTGGACTTTGGGTCTCACTTAGTACGTGGTAAAACGAAACTAAGATCATTAACACAGATGTTATGTAACCATAAACCTCAGTGGTAAATGCTGAGAGTCTCAAGGGTTACATTAACGAAAACGAAATTAATGGAGAAAAGTGTTGAGGTGGTATAAGAAACGTAAGTACCTCTGCTATGTGAAAGTGACCAAGCAAATAACTCTTAACCCAATATGAGAAGAGTAAGGTAGCTCATGACTAATGTGAATTAAGAAGCCTGATTGGGAAGAAGCGAAAGGTAGATTCATTTCATTAAGGCTTCACATAGAGTCGTTGAGGCTTTAGACAACATACAGCAACATGCTTCTAGGGACGCTTAGCTAATACATAGATAAAGATGTTTATACTTGCGCCATCAAACGAATTAGAGTAACTCAAGATATGTGTTTGTCACAAGTTTCGCTGTTATCTATTTTTGGTATTTTGAATATTTGTTAAAAAAAAGAAATAAAACTAAACACAAATGAAAATATTTTTGTTATCTTAATTTTCTGAAAAAGAATCTAAAAACAGAAAGAAAAGTAAAATATTTTTGGATTTTGGTTTTTCTGAAGAAGAAATAAAAACAGAAATTTAAAATATGTTTAAACGAAATAGGATACATAATGAACAAAAAGGATACATGAGTTCCAAACCAACAAGAAAGTTGATTAATCAACCGATAGTTCGCTTATAGATAATGAGTGAAGCGAATTAGAGCGAGAGTTCGGTCCATTTCGTGTCCCAAGAAAATCGGAAACGAAATAGAGCGAGCGTTCGCCTCATTTCGCTTTACAGATACTCACAAGGCGAAAACGAAGGTGATTCTCATGAAAGCGAAAGTGGTTTTGGAACAGATTCAGCTTCCATCATTCCTAAGCCTTGAAGAATTCTATTAAACGATGCTTCAGGCAAGGCTTTCGTGAATATGTCAGCTAGTTGATCAGAGGATCGTACGAAGTGTATTTCAACATTTCCATCTTCTACGTGATCCTTGATGAAGTGATACCTCAGTGCAATGTGTTTTGTCTTTGAGTGTTGCACCGGATTATGACCAATGTGAATAGCACTTTCAGAATCACAGTATAGAGGGATTCGTTTCATGTTTAGGCCATAGTCTCTTAATTGGTTTTGAATCCAAATGACCTGTGAAGCACAAGATGCAGCAGCAATATATTCAGTTTCAGCTGTAGACAAGGATACACATGTCTGTTTCTTGGACTGCCAACTGACGAGTTTGCCATTGAGAAATTGACACCCGCCAGTAATGCTTTTTCTATCTAAACCACATCCTCTAAGATTAGAATCTGAGAATGCTTGAACGAAGAACCCTGAATTCGTTGGATACCATATGCCAAGAGACGAGGTTCGTTTCAAGTATCTGAAGATGTTCTTGACTGCCACCATGTGAGGTTCGCGTGGATTTGCCTGAAACCTAGCACAATAACAAACGGAAAACATAATGTCTGGTCTACTAGCTGTTAGATACATTAATGATCCTATCATCTGACGATACAAAGTCATATCAGCAGTTGGTTTTTCCAGAGAAGGTGTTAGTTTCGTTCCGAATGCCATTGGAACTTTCACTCTTGAATCTCCCATCATGCCAAACTTCGCTAGTAAGATTTTGGTGTAAGGCTCCTGATTTATGAAAATGCCTTCTGGTCCCTGTCTAATATTCAATCCAAGGAAAAAGTTAATTGGACCCATTGATCTCATCTCCAATTTAGTTTCCATCAACTTGCAAAACTCAGCTATTAAGCTAGGATTCGTAGAACCAATGATGATGTCATCAACATAAATTTGGACAATCATTAGGTGGTCACCCTCTTTCTTGCGAAAGAAGGTTGGGTCAACCGAACCTTGTTTGAATTTTGACATTTTAAGAAAGCGAGTTAGGGTTTCATACCAGGCTCTTGGCGCTTGCTTTAGACCATAAACGGCTTTGTCCAAGATGTAGCAGTGATTGGGAAATTTTTCGTTCACAAAACCCGGTGGTTGCTCGACATATACAGTCTCTTCTAGTTCTCCATTCAGGAAAGCACACTTGACGTCAATTTGAAACACCTCAAAGTTCTTGTGTGCTGCATAAGCCAAAAAGATACGAACGGATTCTAACCTTGCTACTGGAGCGAAGGTGTCTTCATAGTCGATTCCTTCTTCTTGACAGTATCCCTTAACTACTAGTCTTGCTTTATTTCTTATCACATTGCCTTCTTTATCCACTTTATTGAGAAA